TTATGAGTTTAGAGATTAGAGATTTGATTGCTTAAGTTTTGAGAGAGTTTCTTNTATGTGGTTAGGAAAATAGAAGTTTTCCTAACAAGTTTTTGGAAGTTTAAATCTCTATATAAGAAGATGGTGAGTTGTGCCATAGCTTATGAGTTTAGAGATTAGAGATTTGATTGCTTAAGTTTTGAGAGAGTTTCTTAAGCTAATAAAGAGAGTGATTCTTTATTATTGAGTTCTTATTTCAATCTTTAAACTTTTATTTGGTATCAGAGCAAATTCGATTTCACCAGAACCTCATTACTCCGAATCAAGACACAGTCCGTAATCATGGGAGACATCGTACCATCAACCGCATCAACATCAACTTTGTCAACGTTAGTGAAGAAGGAAGGAGGAATAACTTGTCCTATGCTAAACACAACCAACTATACCGTATGGGCCATAAGAATGAAACTATTGCTTAGGGTTCATGATGTATGGGAAGTTGTGGAAACCGAGTCCGATGATACAAAGAAGAACGTGGTGGCAACAGCTTTAATAGTCCAATCAATACCAGAAGCGCTTGTTCTTCAGATTGGTGACTTGGACACAGCAAAGAAGGTATGGGACGCCATTAAGACTAGATATGTTGGTGCTGAAAGAGTTCGTGAGGCACGTCTTCAAACCTTGAAAACTGAATTCGACAGATTGAGAATGAAAGACACAGAGAAGATCGATGACTTTGTTGGAAAGCTTTCAGAGATAGCTTCAAAATCTGCAGCACTCGGAGAAACCCTAGAAGAGTCAAAACTTGTGAAAAAGCTTTTACAAAGTTTACCTAGAAAGAAGTATATCCATATGGTTGCATCTCTGGAACAATGGTTGGATTTAAACACCACGGGTTTTGAAGACGTCATAGGTCGTTTGAAGATATTCGAAGAACGTATCAAGGATGAAGATGAAGATACAAGTGAAAACCAAACAAAGCTTATGTATGGAGAAGCACAAAGAGAATATCAAGGAGGAGAGAACAGAGGACGCGGTCGAGGTCGGTACTACGGACGAGGAAGAGGCAGAGGACGTGCATATTGGGACTTGTCTAAAGTAATGTGTTTTAGATGTGATAAGACGGGCCATTATGCATCGTCTTGTCCCGATAGACTACTCAAACTACAAGAGACTACAGAGCAGAAGGAAGATGAAACAAGAGAAGCTGATGGTCTCATGATGCATGAGACAGTTTATCTCAATGAGAAGAACATAAAGCCTAAGGAGTTTGAATCAGGAAGCGATGATGATCGGATATGGTACTTGGATAACGGGGCCAGTAACCACATGACTGGCAACAAGAGTTATTTCACAAAGATTGACGAGTCAATCACGGGAAAGGTTAGATTCGGAGATGACTCAAGAGTGGATATCAAAGGAAAAGGTGCTATCTTGTTCATAAGTCAAGACGGTAAGAAGAAGATACTCACCAATGTCTACTATATACCGGATCTAAAGAGCAATATTATTAGTCTCGGACAAGCCACAGAATCAGGATGTGAGGTAAGGATGAGAGAGGATTACTTAACACTACGAGATCGTGAAGGAAATCTAATAGTTCGAGCTCCAAGGTCCAGAAACCGTTTATACAAAGTGATAATGAATATTGAGGAGACAGAATGCAGGCTTCTTTCAACACAGAGTGAGTATGAGATATGGCATGCCCGGATGGGACACGTGGGAGCTGATACAATGAAGACTATGATCAGAAAGGACCTTGTACTAGGAGTTCCGAAGCTTACAATAGAGAAAGAGATATGTGAAGCCTGCATATTTGGTAAACAAACCAGAAACCCAATCCCACACTCAACAGCATTCCGAGCTGGCAACAAATTGGAGCTTGTTCATGGTGATCTTTGCGGACCAATAAGTCCTTCAACTGCAGGAAACAACCGCTATATCTTCGTACTAATCGATGACTATTCAAGATATATGTGGTCTATTCTCATGAAAGAAAAATCTGAAGCATTCGACAAGTTCAAACGCTTCAAAGCAATTGTAGAGAAGGAAACGGGAACAACTATAAAGACGTTGAGAACAGATAGGGGTGGAGAGTTCACAAGTTCTGAGTTTGCAAGTTTTTGTGAATATGCAGGAATACAAAGACATCTAACGGCTCCTTATACGCCACAACAGAACGGCGTAGTCGAACGACGGAACCGAACACTTATGGGAATGACGAGATGCATCATGAAACATATGGAAATCCCAAACTATCTATGGGGGGAAGCAGTACGACACGCCACATATCTGATCAATAGAGTCTCGACAAAGACACTTGAGTCCCAAACACCATACGAAGCTTACAAAGGAAGCAAACCGAACATATCACATGTGAGAGTATTCGGATGTGTTGGATATGCTAAAATAGAATCGGTAAACGTCAAGAAACTTGATGACAGATCGAGATCTCTCATTCATCTTGGAACCGAACCAGGATCTAAAGCCTATAGGATGATGGATCCAACGCAGAAGAAAATAGTGGTCAGTCGAGACGTTGTGTTTGCAGAGAACAAAAGGTGGAAGTGGAAGGAAAGTGAAACCGAGAGAGGTGAACCAGGTAGATTTCGGATATGTCTTGGAGAATACGGTAATCATGGTCTTGAAGAAGAACATGATGGAGTCACAAATAGAGCCACTGAGATCGACACAGCCGAGAATCGACTTGAAGAACAAACAACTCGTGAAGAAGAAGAAAACAGTGAAACAGAGGAGAGTCAAGAAACAGAGCACGAGCCTGAAACAGAGTCAGAGCTCGGAACAGAACATGAGACAGAGGAGACACAGGTTCGGAGGTCTAGCAGGATAAGTAAAAAACCGAGTTACCTTGAGGATTACGTGTTGATGGCTGAAATAGAAGGAGAACGTCTTCTGATGATAATTAATGAAGAGCCGTGGGAATTCAAAGATGCAGTGAAGGAGAAAGTATGGCGAGACGCTTGTCAAGACGAGATCAACTCTATTGAGAAGAACAAGACTTGGATACTGGTCGATCTACCACAAGGTGCAAAACCTATTGGTTTGAAGTGGATTTTTAAGATAAAGAAGAATGCAGATGGAAGCATTAGCAAATACAAGTCGAGATTAGTTGCAAAAGGTTACATTCAGAGACATGGAGTGGACTTTGAAGAAGTTTTTGCTCCGGTTGCACGTATAGAAACGGTCCGCTTCATTATCGCTCTTGCAGCTTCTAATGGATGGCAAATTCATCATCTTGACGTGAAAACGGCGTTCCTTAACGGTGACCTAAAAGAAGTAGTGTTTGTAACACAACCCGAAGGATTCATAGTCAAAGGCAGCGAGGACAAAGTCTACAAATTAAACAAAGCACTATACGGTCTCCGACAAGCTCCGAGAGCATGGAATGAAAAGCTCAACAAGGTGTTGGAACACATGGGATTTCATAAGTGCTCAAAAGAGCCTTCACTGTACCGCAAGCATGTTCGAGATAATTTGATAATAGTGGCTGTTTATGTTGATGATCTCTTGATCACAGGATCAAGCAAAACCATGATCTCCGAGTTCAAGGAAGAGATGGCAAGAAACTTTGAGATGAGTGACCTCGGGCTGTTGACATATTACTTAGGAATTGAAGTGTTTCAACATAAAGATGGGATCACACTTAATCAAGGAAGGTATGCGAATAAAATCTTGTGTGAGACAAGCATGGATGACTGCAATTCAACTCAGGCTCCCATGGATTTTGGCCTGAAAATATCGAAGGCAGAGGAGGAGAGTGACATTGATGAGAAGGATTATCGAAGACATATAGGGTGTTTACGGTATTTGTTGCATACTCGTCCGGATCTTGCATTTTCTGTAGGATTGCTCAGTAGGTACATGCACAAACCGAAGACAACACACGGACTAGCTTTGAAGCATGTTCTGAGGTATTTGAAGGGTACCTCGAGTTTTGGTCTTCTGTTTCCGAGAGCAAGTGACACCATAATCAAAGGCTTCAGCGACTCATCTCATAACATAGACGAAGACGATGGCAGGAGTACTACAGGCCATATCTTCTACTTGAATGAAAGCCCCATCACTTGGTGCTCTCAGAAACAAGAAACAGTTGCCCTATCATCATGTGAAGCAGAATTCATGGCTGCTACAGAAGCTGCGAAACAAGCAATATGGCTCCGGGAACTTCTTGAAGAAATTACAGAACAACCAAGGAAGAAGATCGTGATTTTTCTGGATAATAAATCTGCCATCGCATTAACTAAAAATCCAGTGTTCCATGGTCGCAGCAAGCATATACACAAACGCTATCATTTTATAAGAGAGTGTGTAGATCAAGATCTCATCGATGTCCAACATGTCCCGGGGAATATGCAAAAGGCAGATATTTTGACTAAAGCTTTAGGAAGGATCAAGTTCAAGGAAATGAGAGAGCTAGTAGGAGTTCAAGACATAGAAGAAGTTAACTTTAAGCTTAAAGGGGAGAATGTTAGCAATAAGCTTAAAGATAACTTAGAAGCCAAGTTAAACTGATCTTTCCTTATTATTATGTGGTTAGGAAAATAGAAGTTTTCCTAACAAGTTTTTGGAAGTTTAAATCTCTATATAAGAAGATGGTGAGTTGTGCCATAGCTTATGAGTTTAGAGATTAGAGATTTGATTGCTTAAGTTTTGAGAGAGTTTCTTNATGTGGTTAGGAAAATAGAAGTTTTCCTAACAAGTTTTTGGAAGTTTAAATCTCTATATAAGAAGATGGTGAGTTGTGCCATAGCTTATGAGTTTAGAGATTAGAGATTTGATTGCTTAAGTTTTGAGAGAGTTTCTTAAGCTAATAAAGAGAGTGATTCTTTATTATTGAGTTCTTATTTCAATCTTTAAACTTTTACTTAGACCAAGCCAAATTACACACCTGAATACAATACGATGTGAAATGTTGTTCGGTTTTTAATAAAAGCCAGTATAACCAAGGTTACCTGACTACTGGTGTCTACGCAATTTAAATGAGTGTTCGTCGTTGTGTTCTAGAAACGGATACATCTATAAGCAGTGCCACCACCTGAAGCAAGAAGTCCGTGGAGATGAGGAGACCACGCAATGGCTTTAAACGCTGCTGTGTGTTCACAGTATCTCAAAACCGGTTGTGTTGAGTGTTGGTTCCATACAAGAAGCTGCAACAATCATTAACCATGTTCCCAAAAATTCATGCCTTCTTACACTCAAAGAATGAAGATGATATAATTTACCTTATTGTCGTTTCCGCCTGATGCAAGCTCGCGGTTGTCATAAGACCATTTGAGTCCACATACTTCGGATTTGTGACCCGTTAGTTTACTGACATGATCTTCTTGACACCGTATGTCTCTCTGAAGTATGCTCTTGTCTCGGCTACCAGAAGACAAAACTGATGAGCTCCATGCTAAGGCTCCAACTCGTAGTCGAAGACCTTCCATCGTTCTTATTCTCCTGCAGCGCAACGCATCCCAAATCTAATGAAAGCATAAAACAATAAGAGTAAGCAAGTTATCATATACTCCAAGAGACAAATGTATCTTGTTTCTAACTTACCTCTACAGTTCCGCTACTTGTTCCAATCGCCAAATGTGTTCCACGTAGTGTCCAACTGACTGAGCAGACGCTCTCGTCGTCCCTGATATCACATAACTTAGTAACCTGCAAACAGAAGCAAGGCAAGGGATTCTAAGTCACTCTTTGAGAAAAGAAATGAGTCAGGAAGAAAAGCTCACCTTGCTAGTACAAGCATTCCACAAATAGACGCAGTTGGCTAATCCCACTGCTAGAACGTTTTGAGGAAAAGGTAGTCCAGATAGTGATGTACTTGGAATTCTTCATCCTCTGATTCAACATTGGGTTCACATTTAAGAGTATTGTGGTGTCAACAATGTAAGGAAGGTGGTCGTTAATGGAGGCCACATATTTCTCAGCTGTTGAAGGAAGAGGACCCACGAATTTGCTGTATATCTGTGCAATATCCATGATTGAATTGTGACCAAAAATCAACTTCGTCTCTGAAGAGAGCAGATCAATCACCTGACGGAAACCTATTGCAGATTTTCGAGGGAGAAGGCGTCGGAGAGGACGTCTTTGGTGTGTCCAATGAGTCGGCGAGTAGAGACTCCGCGGTCAGGTCCCAGAGGCAGAGCTCGCCGTCCAGCTTCTGGAGAGGACAAATTGGCCGTCGGAGGATGGATTTATCACGGGAGGCTGAGACGATGTCGCCGTCGATCCGTGTGGATCCCTTCGCCGTCGACTTTTTTTTTTTTTGTAAAATTTTCTTATCTAAACATAAGGATATTTTAGTCATTTGCCTATTAATGACTTAGGTATTTATGAAAATGTTCTTCTAATGAGTGTAAAGTTGAATAAGTATAGATGTGTTTTATCCTTATTTACGTTTTACATTCTAAGATGTGAAACTTCATTTTAATATTTTATATCTGTCAAAGTTTCCAATACAAATTACATATTTAAATATAAATAATATTTTAAAATGAATTAAATTTTATGAAAATAAACCTAGGCGTAGCCCGGAAAAATGCTCTAGTACAATATTAAAAGGTGAATATACTCAACATTTAGCATATCCACGTAGGCAAAAATAATCATCCAATAGAAATATGAGATAATTGGCTAAAGTGCCCTATTTGACACCTATAATTACAGACTTGCCCATGATGTGACAATTACTTTCCTTTGGACCATTTTGCCCTTCTCTACACTCTCTCTCCTCTCTTTGACATTTCTCTTTTTTTTTTCTCTTCAATCCCTAATTATTTTACAAATCTCTATCATTCTATATACAATTAAATTTTAAATTTCATTATTTTTTCATAAGTGGCTTTGAATCCTCAATTTTTCGACCTTTTTTTTTCTCTCTAATCCCTAATTATTTTACAAATTCTATATACAATTAAATTTTAAATTTCATTATTTTTTACATAAGTGGCTTTGAATCCTCAACTTTTTGATAATATCAATTTTCTGGGTTTTAGATTCGACGTCGTGTTAGCGGTTAACAAATATTGTAGACGTTAACAGAAGTGTTAGTTGTTAACAATTTTTTTTACGCTTCGCGTTAATAAATGTGTTCGCTGTTAACAAATATTGTAGACGTTAACAGAAGTGTTAACTGTTAACAATTATTTTTACGCTTCGCGGTAATAAATGTGTTGGCTGTTAACAAATATTGTAGACGTTAACAGAAGTGTTATATGTTAACAAATGTTTTTACGCTTCATGTTAATGAGAGGAAAGAGAAAGGGCATTCTCGGCATTTCCTTGCCAAATGGTTGTGTCAGTGTCCTTCATGTCCAATCAATGGTATTTTGCTAATTTGAGCTTCAAATATGGGTAGTTTACTAAATCACTCTAGAAATATTTTGTTATGCCATGTCACAGTCCTTTTTTTAATCACCACCGCCGTGCTCTTCAGCTTCTTCACGATCTCCTGCATATAAATCAACATCTCCGGCGCCATGGTTTGCACATATTTGTCTCTCTTATCCCCTCAATATGTAATCAATTCCACTACGCATGAATCAATCGGTTCCTTAAAAACCTCTGTCGATGCTGTTAAATATTAAAAGGTGAATATACTCAACATTTAGCATATCCACGTAGGCAAAAATAATCATCCATTAGAAATATTTTGTTATGCCATGTCACAGTCCTTTTTTTTAATCACCACCGCCGTGCTCTTCATCTTCTTCACGATCTCTGCATATAAATCGACATCTCCGGCGCCATGGTTTGCACAGATTCTTCTCTCTTATCCCCTCAATATGTAATCAATTCCACTAAGCATGAATCAATCGGTTCCTTAAAAACCTCTGTCGATGCTGTTACCTTATATTTCCAGCACCATCCCGAGATGATCTTGATTCTATCTCCGAGGTTACATCTGGAGCTATAGGATCTCTACCTAGCACAACTATCATGTACTCTCTCAATACCTGTAAATCCAAGTTCCAAGCCGAGATCAGCGTTCGCGGTCAGCAGAAATACAGTTTTCCTCTCTTCTCCTTCTTCTTCCTTTGCCTATCCTTCGTGCTTTAGTTTGTTATGAGATCATGATATTTCCCACTCATCTGAAAAAACTTCGATTTCGTGTATATTCCTGTCTCTGTTGAAAACGATGAAGATATTGGTTTTGTTTACGTTTGGATTAGGTTTTTATTGATTTATTTATTGGGCCTTTGAGTTTTGCAATGCTGCAGAACTTCACGCCGTAACCGATCTTCACACCTCCCACTTTTTTCATTGAAAATTTCTCTTGCTTACAGTTTTTTTATTGTTGCAGACTGAGTGCTCTGAAGTACTAGATGATTGCATTAGAGACATATCTTAATTGGTCTCCCCTGTTTACTTTCCAAAAATTTCTTAGACCTCGCCACAGTAAAGTCTACACCGGAGGTCTGATTTTTTTCCCTTATCAAGTGCTCTCCAAACTTTCAGTATATCTTACCATTTGATGAACACTATGAATATTTAATAGAGAGTGAACTGTTTATCTTAAAAGTGTTTTAATTCTAATTTCTTAAGGTGTGGTATAGGTGTGTTGTGTTTGACCTGACAAATATTATTTCTATGAACCTTGACAAGTAAAGTGAAGCACTTTATGTCTCAGGTTAATGGACCACGAGAATAAGGTAAATGTCACTGCGACAGTTTACATTCAAAAACAAATGTGTACGGTACCATACTCCAAAGCTCAGGTCTCCATAGCAGTTGGACAAACTCTTCTCTTGAACCATGGGTGCCTCTTTTACATATTCCATTCCATACATCGTGTAATTTCCTATGGAGTGCCCTTACATTTGTGTGATGTAGACCTGATATTGAACAGGGAGATAAACTATAGATAACTGCATAAATATAGTGGACCCCTTGCTTAGCATATGTAACATCTTTTTGGTATGAATATAGACAAGTCTGTTGTATATATTTTCTCCAAGATCTAATTTGTTATAGATGAATTGAACATGTGCATGAATTAAATCAATATATAACTCTGGGAGTGGAAGTGACAAACGCGGCCATGTAGTCCTTGAAAAAAATACAGGAGGAAAGTAAGAAAGGAACGCTGCAGCTGGTGGACATAGAGTGCAGTTACTTCACCGTTGAATTCTTCATGAAGCTTCTCCAGCTCTGAGAATCTCAACTGTTGTTCGTGGTTGGAGTCAATGGTACCAACACTTAAGAGACCTTTACGTTGTTTAATTTTTGTAAGATAATTTACCCTAAAAGTCTTCATGCTCAAAAGTTGTAGTGGCTTGACTTTATTTTATTTTTCTGGTTTATTTTACAACCAGAATAATTGTAAACCAATTGTAATTTATATAAAATTTACTTTATTTTCAATTATAAAACAATTTTGGATTTATTTTTTCAATTATTTTATTTTTAATTATAATGATTTTTTTTATTGTAGAAATATCTATCATTAGGTGTTTTCTTGCACCATGTGCATAAATAATTGTTTTGAAAATTTAAATCATATTTAGCAGTAAATGTTTGTTCATTTTTAGATTTTATTATTTTCGTACAATACACTAATTTTAATTTAATTATATAAAACTTAAGATAAAATATTTTCTTAACTTTAAATTAAATCAAATATATGTATATATTTAAAAATATAATCTAAGAAATATTTTTATCTATTGCTTTTGATTAAAATATATTAAAAATTCTAAAAACATTATTATTTTGTTAGGTGTATAATATCAAAATTTAAAACTAAATAATATTTCTACAATTTGTAGATATTTAAAAGAAGCTCATAGTAACAAGATTAGAAAATTATAATTTTTTTTTAGAATTGTATAATTTTTTGAAGTTTGTTTTAGTAATAAGAATTATAAATTATAAAATTTTAATTATAAAATAAATTTAAGAATATTTCAAAAATTGTAAAATGTTATTCTTATTTATTTTACTGTTATATTATTTATTGTTATATTAGTGATGATATATGACTTATTACCATATTTTAGCAACTTACCAAAAATATAAAACAATAATTAATGTAAATTTTCATATCATAATTAGCATCAACCCATGTCATATTTGTTGGTATGCCATGTTATCCTTTTTCTTTCAAAATTAATGTGGTGATGACAAGTGGAAAAATCACTTCTCAAATAATAACTTTGGGATTGCACGAATACGTAAATCGAATCAATATATAACATAAATGTAGTGTTATAGTTAAATTAATAATATCATTCTAATATTTCTATCATATCTGTATATTTTATAGTTTTTTAAAAATACTATTGTAGAGGGGGTATCTATGTTGGCTGTTGATGACATAGTATAATAGAAAACGCGGTGTTATCATTTCTTTTAAATAAAAAAAGATTCATTTTCTCAAGTTCAAATTACTATCTTTTTAAAATGTATAATTATGATTGTTACACAAATTTCTATGTCTTTGTTATAAAGTTATATTTTGATCTATTCCATGCATACAATTTGGTTCATATTTCATAGTCTTTGGAAACTTGAAAAACAAAAAAAAAATAAGATGGCAATTATTATTTTTTAAATGGTTAAACAATAAATAACAACTTCACTTAATATATGTATATGGTTTTTCACATAAGTTCATAATACAAATATATCACCTAAAATGATTTTGTTGTTTATTATTAAAAGCGATGCTCTGTGACAAGAAGTGTTTTAAAAACTGGAAATCGGCTGGTTGGATCATGACTCTCCCTCTTCTAAACAATTTTGAGTTGTGCTAAAAAAAATATTTAAGAACTGGTCATTCGCTAAAACCGATGGTCCGTTTGTTATTAAACCCTGATATTTCAAATTCAAGTTAAAAAGTGAAAATTTTTAAAATACTTTTATATAAACCTGTATTGTTTTTAATATATATTTAAACAAATTATTTTTCATTATATTTTATATTATTTTTGAAGTTTTCATTTTAATTCCATATCATTTTAGCTTCCAACAATGATAAAAAGTCTTATAAAATAATTTTATAGTTATACATATATATAGATACTTAAATTTAAGTTTAAATTAAATTTATAATCCAGTTGGAGCGATGTGACCTTTAAATTATAATCTTCACACCTCCCACTTTTTTCATTGAAAATTTCTCTTGCTTACACTTTTTTTTTATTGTTGCAGACTGAGTGCTCTGAAGTAATAGATGATTGCGGTCTCCCCTGTTTACTTTCCCAGAATTTCTTAGACCTCGCCACAGTAAAGTCTACACCGGAGGTCTGATTTTATTCCCTTATCAAGCGCTCTCCAAACTTTCAGTATATCTTACCATTTGATGAACACTATGAATATTTAATAGAGAATGAACTGTTTATCTTAAAAGTGTTTTAGTTCTTATTTCTTAAGGTGTGGTACAGGTGTGGTGTGTTTGACCTGACAAATATTATTTCTGCGAACCTTGACAAGTAAAGTGAAGCACTTTATATCTCAGGTTAGTGGACCACGAGAATAAGATAAATGTCAGTGCGACAGTTTACATTCAAAAACAAATGTGTACGGTACCATACTCCAAAGCTCAGGTCTCCATAGCAGTTGGACAAACTCTTCTCTTAAACCATGGGTGCCTCTTTTACATATTCCATTCCATACATCGTGTAATTTCCAATGGAGTGCCCTTACATTTGTGTGATGTAGACCTGATATTGAACAGGGAGATAAACTATAGATAACTTCATAAATATAGTGGATCCCTTGCTTAGCATAACATCTTTTTGGTATGAACATAAAAGCAACTTATCATTTCAGAATATTTGATGGTGTGTTCTCAGTCTTTCTTTCATGTGACTTGTATTTTTTTTCTTGCAGGAGGATCAGGACTGCTGCAATTCATGTGAGGATGTTTTTCATGCATTTAGGCCGAAACCTTGGGGTGTTACAAATCCAGATTGATTGAAACGTGAGGTATTTATAAAAAAAAGGTTCTCGCATTATTGGATTCAAATATATGGTTTACAATTCAATAAAGCAATCAGTTTTCAATTCAGTACTGCTAAATATCTTTGTAGTTCTGATTTATTTTAATATCCCCTAGCTGGTCACTAAGCTAGCGATTACCATCCTCACTTTATTGCTCATGAGCAAGGTTACTGTCGTCTCACTGAGTCTTCTATTGTATCCATCTGAGGCCATGCTGAGGCATCTGTTGACATTGTGCCATCTCTAAACTTGCATCTTTAATATAAAAGAACTCAGCAACCTAACAGAAACATGCAATAACCATCTCTTTTTTTTGGTGTGGTTCTAATTTTTTCAGGGTCATGTGAGTCTTAAAGGATATAGACAAGTCTATGATTGATAATATATATATATATATATATATATATATATTATCTCCAAGATTTAATTTGTTATAGATGAATTGAACATGTGCATGAATTAAATCAATATATAACTCTGATAGTGGAAGTGACAAACGCGGTCATGTAGTCCTTAAAAAAAATACAGGAGGAAAGTAAGAAAAGAACGCTGCAGCTGGTGGACATAGAGCAGTTACATCACCGTTGAATTCTTCATGAAGCTTCTCCAGCTATGAGAATCTCAACTGTTGTTCTTGGTTGGGGTCAATGGTACCAACACTTAAGAGACCTTTACGTTGTTTAATTTGTGCAAGATAATTTACCTTGGAAGTCTTCATGCTCAAAAGTTGTAGTGGTTTGACTTTATTTTACAACCAGAATAATTGTAAACCAATTGTAATTTATAAATAAAATTTACTTTATTTTCAGTTATAAAAAAATTTTGGATTTAATTTTTCAATTATTTTATTTTTAACTATGATGATTTTGGTTTATTGTAGAAATATCTATCATTAGGTGTTTTCTTGCACCATGTTCATAAATAATTTTTTTGAAAATTTAAATCCTTAATTTTAATTTAAATATATAAAAATTAAGATAAAATTTATATTTTTTTAAAAAATTTAGATTAAATCAAATATATGTATATATTTAAAACTATAATCTAAGAAATATTTTTATCTATTGCTTTTGATTAAAATATATAAAAAATTCTAAACAATATTACTTTGTTACGTATATAATATCAAAATTTAAAACTAAATAATATTTATACAATTTTTAGATATTTAAAAGAAACTCATAGTAGTGGGATTAGAAAATTATATTTTTTTAGAATTGTATAATTTTTTGAAGTTTGTTTTAGTAATAAGAATTATAAATTATAAAATTGTAATATTTAAAATAAATTTAAGAATATTTCAAAATTTGTAAAATGTTATTATATTTTATTTTACTGTTATATTATTTATTGTTATATTAGTGATGATATATGAGTTATTACCATATTTTAGAAACTTA